AAGAGGAGTCCGCTGAGGTGTCTTACATCGCATGCCCCCCGGACGCCTCCCTCGGGAGGTGCTCGGGTGCTGTCCCTCTGGGAGGAGACCTAAGGGAAGACCTAGGACACGCTGGAGCGACTACGTCGCTCGGCTGGCCTGGGAGCGCCTTGGGGTCCCCTCAGAAGAGCTGAAGGAAGTGTTGAGGGAGAGGGAAGTCTGGGTGTCCCTGCTCAGACTGTTGCCCCCACGACCCAGCCCCAGATAAGCGGTTGATGATGGATGGATGGATGGATGCAGTGTAAAAATTAGTTAATGTGAGCAGAGTTTAGACTTTGTAAGATGCTCCAGTCACATTCTTCAACCCCTTATGTTGATGTTCTGGACAGTGATAATAAGTTCAGGCAGTTAACCACACTAAGCGCAGCATCTTAAATTGAAACCTTTGATTTGTCAGCATGAATAGGTCTCTTGTGAGTGTGTGTGTATGTGTGTGTGTGTGTGTGTGTGTGTGTGTGCGCAGCCTCTAATCAGCAGTGTGTGCTGAGGGAAAAAAACACCCCAAGTGTTTTCACCACCCTCATTGACACATTCTCATTACCTGCTGCCAACAAGGCAACTGTGAGACCCATCTTCTTGTTACATCTTCAAAAAAGATTCTGTTCCTGCTTGATGCATGGAGAGAGTGGTTTACAAAAATTTGTAAACCATTTATTTCCAAAACCAATTTTTTTTGTTACATAACACGACAGCTGGGGTTTCAGAATGAATGCTTTATCTCACAAGTAAGCACTATTTTTGAACAAGACTTTGATCAAAAACATCTCACACAAAGTCCATCGAACGAAATCCATGCTGATGTGAAAAATATGAGCTGCTGGTCCACTGCTGCCTCGTGTGGTCAGGAAGTATCACTGATGTAAACTACACAATGAAAGGAGCTGAGTGATTTACAAACTTTAGTTTTCTCTTCTTATATTTGTGGAAGCTTTTGTCTGACATCACACACAGAATTATTCATCTAATATCTAAATCTGTTAATACCAGTTACTGATGCAGGTCTCATAGAGAAGGTGGACGAGGAGGTGGACAGAGGACATCCAGGACTCGAGTTCTTTCCCTCTGACATGTTAGCAGGTTTCTGACTTGTCTCTTTCACACATTGTTCAAAAGATAATAAGAGGTGGAGTTTCTGGGAGAAGTCAAGAACTCTGGCCTGAGCCTGATAGAAATAGTAAAGGCTTGTTAGTATTCTGTTGATATCATACAACCTAGTATCACTTGCCTCACAGTCAAGCTGGAAATAAAC